GCTAATCTTGTGCTATAAAATGTTAGTGTGTTTTGTTCTGAGTTCTTTTTTTCAGATATCGGGAGCCAAGGATAGTTTCGTTAGCTTAAATAAGTGTTGCGGCTGTGTGGAACTCGAAATGTCTGCATAATCGTTCCTAACTGGCAGGCAAGCTCTTTTTTCTTATGTCATGAAATCTTAATCCGTTGTTGCTTTTTAGATATGGAGAACGGAAGTTAGTTTTATTTAGTTAAAATAATTGTTGCTGCCGCATGTGACCGTAACTGGCCCCATATTCGTTCCTAACTGCTGTTTATCGTTATCAAGCAGAATGAAATATTTGTTATTTTCTGCAGTATAATGGACCACGCTACTCCATCAGCCAGTCAAACTAATGCTGAGCGTCCAGTGGCTGTGGATACCGGTGATGTCTTCGAAATGATTCTGAGACCCAGGCACCTGACAAGCTGGTACCAAGTCAGAGAAGCTATCGATCTGTTGCAAAAGGTGTGTTACTGATAATACACCATTTAAAAAGTAATAGATGACTTGGACTCATTATGTTGTACGTGAACGCAGGCTGAACAAAGAAAAGCCGGAAATTCGCTATGAGTATGTTGTGTATGTATGTTCTTTTGGCCATAAAAAGAAACCGGAGGGCTATGGTCAGAGAGTAAAAGAGTAAATGATTATTATTATTGTTTTCAATTTTCATAGATCAAAGTTTGGTGGTCGCAAGGCCATGTTTCGTTTACGATATGTTGTGAACCGGTTCGTCAAATCGCCGTCGAGCATGATACATAACCATCCTTGTGATGAAAAGTGCTTGAAAAATGATCCTTGGTTCAGAAGACTAAGTGGAGATCAGTTGAAGGTTTTTCTATCGATGGTTGAGACTGGAACTAGTGCTGAATCTATTGTTAAGTATGCAGAAAATTTCAAAAAGACAATAACAGTGCATTATGTCAATAATTTAAGATATAAATTTGGCGGACGTAAGCTTATCCCATATATCTGCGGTGTTTTAGGTTGCTGAAGTTTAAACGATGTAATTGCAATCTTACGGAACAATGGAAAATTGTTCGTTTCTTATGGGGGTGGCTAACCAGGTCACAAAGATATTATTTAGCACACACGAGCAAATTGTAATGTACAAACGGTTCCCAGAAGTTGTGTGTTTGGATTCAACATGCAACACGAACAGGGAAAAATAAGTAAAATTTTCCTGCGTACTAATTGTCTTTCGTTATAAACTCTTTCATTTGGTTTGTACAGATAACTGCGGGCATGGGTCTCAGTTATGTTTGCTTGGACCAAGGAAGAGAAGAAGGTTGATGTAGTATGGATACCGGATCATTTTAAAAAGATCATGAATATAACCAGTCAAACGGAAACAATTGTGATGGTTGTGCAGGATCTATCATATCCGCTGTTGAATAAACGCACCGTAATGCTCACATAGCTCTATACTCTTTACACGTGTGTAGAGCTATGTGTAAGAAGACCTGCAATCCAATAATCAAGCAGTACTTATATCAACTGGTGCGCGAATAAACAGTAGCTAAGTTTAATCAGACACGTCGCATAATCAGTGTACGCAGCAGACGCATCGCAGCCTACTTAATCAAGAACTGGTTGAGTGGGGAAGAAACTTGGGCCGCAGCTTTCAATAGCAATGTCGTTACGTTGGGTAACAGCACGAACAACCGGGTTGAAAGTGTGCAAAAACAACTGAAGAGAAAGTTGCCTAACCGAGACGCGTTGAGTAAATGTATGTGGAAGACATTTACATGGTAGAGGCAATTAGGCAAACGTAGGTCACTACAATCCAGCTTACACTGTAGCCACAAACGCAGATACGTAGCTGAAGATTGCTTAATGCCTCTACTAAGCAAGCTAACCACCTATGCTGGCTTTATAGTCCTTAAAGACTATAAAAAAGGGGACTGATGTACATCAAGAATAGCCAGTCACCCTTTGTGTTCTTCGTAGACGGCCATCAATGTCCGGTAGTGGATGGACTTGACAGGCTGTCCAAGATGTAGATGAAAATATACCGTCTATTCTGTCTTCAGATTATAATGAAACGAACAGACTTTATCGCATTCTATGAAGTAAAATCCACACACTCAGTACACTTTTCGGACTAACGACGGTGCAGGACACACAAAGGCAATTGATAGATCAAGTTGATGAATTAATACGCATGGGGCGTCTGGCTACAGTTTCCAAACATGGTAAGTCTACTGGTTCTTTGGAAACCAAAATCTAAGTATTTATAAATGCATCTATTAGGCTGATACTCGTACTCTCTATTTCAGACAATCAATGAACACAAATCTCGTCATGAGCGTCTGCTGCGTTGCCAGTTTTTGTTAATACCATATTAAATAAAAGTCTTGTATTCACTAAATACAGAGTTTCTTGCTGTATTTGGTATAAAGGGGTGAGACATTGAATTGGCCTGTAGTTGTGTTTTGACGAGCGCGTACCCTCACGATACTAGTGACCCGTCAGTGTAGCTAAGGTATTGATTAGAAATCCGACGGCATCCCAACAAACAACTATGGCTTAAACGCGTACCCATCAACGTACTACTGCAACACATCATGGCGTCTGAAAAAGGTTATAAGGAGGCCCGAACTTAGAGGTTTCCCGTTGCTTGTTTATCATATGGTATTTCAATCAGAAACTAAGATTACAGGTAGGGACTGTTGGGATGTGTAAATGAGTCAACTGTCTTAACTTGAAATTACTACATATCAACTAAGTGCTGACAGGCTCGCGTTTCACCAGTTTCTTGCAACGATTAACTGGATAAAACGAAATAGCATCAAGTCTATAAATTTATTCACGAACTTTAATTAACAATAGAATATGAAACAAATATTTACACCAGGTTCCAAATTACATTGTAGCATTGGTAAAGTGAAGCTGCGGTAGTTGTTTCTTTTCAAACGACAGGGTATAAGAAGTAACTCCAAAACACTGGAAGTGGTCGCGAGACTAAAGTGGACGTCCGATATGCTTTTAATAATCTGCTGTTACTTGGGTCTCCCATAAAGTTTCATAGGGCCATAGTTATAAAGCTGAATGACTTTGTAAGATCTGTGACGGCTCATTCCTGTTACATTCTAAATAAAAGATAGTAATGGATTTAGTCAAGAGTGTTGAAAAGGTGAATAAACAAATTACATGTTTCTAAGGAAAGAATTTATGCAGCTGTGATTTACCTCGACTTCATAAATATCAGATCACGCCAGCTACTAAAACTTGTGCAAAGTACAGCATCAAACAGCTTTTATTATTTTACTCCCACTTAAGTATTCCCATGCATCTGCGTCTGGTTTTACAGGAAGATATACAAGTTGATTTAGTATCTGGTAAACTAAAAGTTCCAGTTGTCAAAAAGACTCTTAACATTTGTCCACAGCCAGCAGCATTTAATTAAGACAGAACACTTCATCTAAGACTGTATACTGCTGTTTTGCAGGCAAATAAAAGCTCAGACACTTAGATATCCTGCTACCGATGTTACTGACAGTGGTCTTGAAACGTGAACAGTGTTAGACGTACTGTCTACAAATAAACACCAAACGTACTTAAAGCTATCTTATAATGTATGACAGCAACAGTACCAAAGGCATTTTTTCCTATTTTTAATCAGACTGATTTGAATCAGTATACTCATTAAAAACAGGCAGCTCTACTTACTAAACTGATCTGTTTCGTTACAGGCTTCAAGCACTATACTTAAGTATAATATAATTCTGTAGACTAAACCAAATTATACGGCAATCAGGAATACTAAACTAAGCAAGTATCATAATTATTGTTCCATTTGCAGAGACATGTTGCTAAACGGAGTCAAATGAACGTAATTCAGCCGATAGGCCAGTCAAACTTACCTAAGAGAAAACGAAGGATACATATATACTGCTTTCATACTGAAGACAACAGGCAGTTGTTCATAAAAACATAGTTTACAGTACAAAAAACTTTCTTCATTAAAATCATGCACTGACGGTCTATCTGGAAACAATCAACTATGTGAATAAACTCACTATGACTTGAGATATCATCCCAGCGTGCAATGGACGCTCAGTGTAACGCAGTAGCACGTGACGAATAAATATTAAAAACAGAGGAAAATTAACTACATAATCCAGTTATTTAATTAAATGACAAAACCTGTGGTTACTTGAACGCACAGTTGACCCTGGGCGATACATTAAGTTTACATGGTTGCGTTGCGGATAAATTCACCCCCAAAATCATATACATGTGCACTAGCTATAAATAAATATTCTTACCACCACTTTTTTTAAATGAATGTGATGTCATAAGATGTCAAGACCTACTTACCACCGAATGAACCAATACTGTCGCAGCCAAACTTTCAAGAAAAGCGTCGTACTTTCAAAGATACGTGAACTACGTTCACTATACTCTGCGAAAAGGATAATTTAAGTGTTCAAATGCAAAGATTTGTATCATGGAGTATTTTTAAGTCTTTAAAAAGTTGAATTGACTTAAACTCCACCGACTCCAGAGACGCCCAGATTGGTTTACATGAACGGCTTGGAAACCTCAAACTCACCGCAGTATTATGGGCTAGGTTAAGGTATTACTTAATCATAGCGTTGATGATACGGAAAAAACTACTTTCATGCTGATTTTTATTTTATTTTCGTCCGACAAAAGGTTGGCATTATATAACAGTGACGATCCATACTACACTAAGACGCAACTTTACCTGCAGAGTAAACAGCGTTTAAAATATTCTGTTAGAATACGTTTGCTTTTGTCTACTATCTGATCTTAAAATTGACTGATAGTTAAGCAAAGGTTTATATCTTGAAGGTACTATAAAGTCTCATGGTTCCTGTACTTACAACAAAATTCCGGAAATACGATGCTCCAAGCGTGTGCATTTTATTTATGAAGATATTTTTAAATAAAACTAAAATAAAAATCAGATTAGCAGACCTTGAAACGCGGCTGGAAAATAATTTTAAACGGCGGCTAAAGTACATTCGAAATTGTTTTACCCGTTTCAACTGACGCTCTATAATTGAATTCTAGTTATACGATATGGGGGACTATGCTGAGGCAGAGGGTATCGCGCTGAAACGCTTAGCAGAGGAACGGAAAGCATGGCGAAAAGATCATCCCTTTGTATGTTAACTAACTAATTATATCATGTCTTAAGGGTTTTGTAGCCAAGCCCATGAAGAACCCTGATGGTTCGTTAGACCTGATGACTTGGAATTGTAGTATACCAGGAAAAAAAGGCGTAAGATTCATGTTATATTATTTCTAAAACTATTTAGACACTGTGGGAGGGAGGATTGTTCAGTCTTAGAATGTATTTCAAGCCAGAATATCCAACAACACCACCCAAATGCAAGTTTGAGCCACCACTGTTCCATCCCAATGTATTTCCGTCTGGTACCGTATGTCTTTCCCTCTTGGATGAAGAAAAGCACTGGAGGCCAGCAGTTACAATCAAACAGGTATCTAAAAAACTCCTTTTTAACATACTCTAAGATTCTCTTAGGTATTCAAGATTTATTAGATCATCCAAATCCTAAAGATCCTGCTCAAGCTGATGCCTATACGTTATATATACAAAACAGAAAGGAATACGATACACGAGTTAAAAAGCAGGCCGAGTCTTTTCGAAACCCCAACTTGTAACTTTCTATATTTCATTGCAAGATATAAGATAACCATTTAAGTGTAAATACAAGACAAATCTTATGCTTCAACATAGTTGCTATTCTGTTTCATGCCCCGATGGGCTTTTCTATACTATTTTCAACCTACTCATACTTTGAAATTGCAACTATCTACTAGGTAATTTTTTTACATGCGGTGAAATCCATAACATAATAGAACTGGATCACATTCATCACCAACAGTGTATGTCTGTTGTTAGACCCGTCATTTGTTCTATTCCTAAGTAAAACTTATTAGTTAAGTTCTTTATATGTATTTCAGTGCTGATCGTGGTGTGTTAAGAATGGAAATTATACCAAAACATGATGTAAACTGTTCGCCTGAATTTCATCAATTAGTTACCTTGGCAGTTCTCTTTTTAAAAGCTGTCGGGTAATGTTAGGATGTTTGAAGATACAAATGTTTCTTTGTTGATTTCTGTCCAAGTCAGTACCCTAACTTCGTCAGATGTGGATGTCTAAAGTATTCAGTGATAAATATTGTTTTACGAGCTGATTGACAATCTAGTTTGCTAGGATACGGCATCTAACTGCTGTCTAAATGTTGGGATGCATATGACACTTATGATCGCTAATCGCCTACAATTTCTAAGCATGAGTCTCTGCAAATTCGTCGGTGCATTTTTTCAAATCATGTCTTTCGTTTCATACATCATGATCAGGTACATAAATTTCTCGTTGGCAGTAACTGTATTTGGAATCGTTAGGGAATTAAACAGGTTAACATAAAGTATGGGAACTTTTGTTAGTTCTTTACGTCGGACAAAACTTGTTTGGAAAAGTCAGCACCCTGTCCAGTGATGTTCGTTCCAAAACACCATCCATAATAGTTTGAGTTAGTCCATTTCTCTTCTTTACCGTAGTTGTTAGGGTCCTCAGACAACTTATACCACCCACAATTCGAACTTCTTGATGGAGGTTGTAGCTGCTGCGGCTTGTTTGACGTCTTTTCATTTGATCACAATAAATAACTACTAGTGGTTCATCCCTCCATTTCCTTGCGATTCAGAGGTTGAACTTTTAGTCAGGTTGCATTCGTCCTCTTTACGTGATTTTCTGGACTTATCGGGATTGGATTCTACTGGGGAAGAAGTATCAGTACAGCTGTTTGTAGCGTAACACATGAAACTAAATTGACTCTACTCTCCAAGTCTATAGGATGGGTTGTTCTGTATCCACTCGGGAATTTAAAATATAACACCCTGTCGTAGCATAGTGCATTGAAATTCAGCTGGAGTATCGTCACTGTTGCATCATATATTATAATCCCTAACTTTCGCTAGGCGAATATGAGTATTGTCTGTTATATTACCTGGTATACACAAATAACAATATACAAACTCAACTGACTATAACATCTCGCTGCAAAAAACATGTTCCTCCAAAATTTGTAGAAATCTTCCGCTTGATGGTGTGCCAAAATACATGTTAGCTTTGTATGCATTTGAGTGATTTTTATGTAATCAAACAATAAGAATAATTGTTTATTCGAGGTTGAAGGGTTTCTCTTCATAATTTAGACCCACTCCCTCACATTTCCTCGACAGAAGCTGAAACCTTGTGTTTCAAGGAATCTGCTTACAAAAAATGTCACAGGTCCCAGTCCCTCGCTACCCACTTCGTGTTGGGTATCCGGTTAATATTGTCAGTCCTCACGCAAACTATACCCAAAGCCAAATACATAGTTATGTACATGGCAAGTGGATCATATCTTTACACTTTTCAGAGGTACCTACAAAATGCCATCGATGGAACCATTGAGAGAGGTAGTGACGTGACCAGTACATCCACGATTTGAAAGGGACCCGGCTAGTTGTTTACGAGTCAGTCGTCCACGTGTTAGGCACAAATCCTTGTATAAAGATCGCTACTACCGGCTAGTCGCTTGTAACACTGTAGCTAACTTCTATTATAACATGTACTTTTACAAATTAGCAGGGCACACACAACCGATGCAGATGCTTTTTCACTCTCTGAATGCCTACAAACCATCGTTTAATTTCTACGAGAACGAAACTGGTAATCTGTGATGTGCTTTTATACACTAGTATTCCAAATGATCGATGTTCAGACATTATTGGTTGTTTGTTAGAGAATAACAATATTCTCCAGTAAAGGTTTACTAAGCATCAGTTCAATCATGAAATATTTCAAGCTGCTTGAATTCAACGCTGTTCACCTCCAGAAGAACGTTATATGAACAACAACAGATCATAAGAACATACGAAATTAAACCTTTCTATAAAACAACCAACACTACGAAACGCATTGGTTAGAACTGAAGGTCGCGTTTACATTTACGCAAAATCCCGTCTACAGATTAGTTTATGTCGATTGTGATACGTTTTACATTGAAGAATCTCGACTCATGACAAGGAACACTTAAGTTACACAAAAAGTCCTAATAATCCTGTAAAATTGGAAAATCTACAACTAAAACCGGGAATAGCAGTATACGTTATTTTCAATAATCAAAGATTTGATACTAAAAATCTCAAAATAATTCATAAAAACTTTCCCAACTATAAAAAGAGCGAGTAGCCGAAGGGTCTCACATAATGCTAAATCCCTCTGCCATCAACAGGTAAGAAGGCCTGAATATTCATTCAACTTTGACCGTTTCCCCAAACAACCACATTTGACTCTATTCCCACAATCTATGCACACACTCAAATTTTAACTTCACCACTTCATACTACAAATTATACATTTTTCACAACCACCATCATGGACACAGATGGGAACAGTGATGTCTCATACAGAATCAACTTGACGAAAAATAACACTACATTGTTATATTCAAACCTATTATGATTTTAATTGTACTAAAACTACTCTGCATTTAAATATGTTATTTATAACAATCTACCCAGTGCTCAATTTATTCGGAATTACCACATCAAACCGTGATAATGATACCTACAATTCTGCTTTGTTTCTTTCGTACTATTTAAACACGTTAATTTTATTTCCATTATCTATTTGCTTACTCTGAAGAAGTGAGTGACATTGAGTCACGAGACGTCAGGAATGCAGATTTCTACTAATTGAGATATCACAAGAATGTTTATTGTCATCGTTTAAGTAAGCTCGTTTCTCTTCAAATCGGTTCCTCCCATTTAAAACTAAAGACACCAATAGTCCTAACGTATTTTAGTTACTAAACACATCCTACTAACACAAAGAATAAGTAGAGTAGAATGTGAACGAGAAATATGCTAAGAGATATTTTTGAAAATATGGTTATTTTCTCAGCATTAAAAGTAATGAATACATTATTTCTAACAATTTTGGAAACTTGGATCTATATGACTTCATTGTATTGATAGAGTTCGAGATGTTTTGGGTGACCAGACTTTGAATATTTAGTATACAAGAATATTCACTAAACTATTAGGATATCCCCTACTTGCCACTAGAAAGCGATTTCGATTCACAACATTAAGATGTAACAAACCTCTGAAGTTAGTGCCACAACGGTCAATAGTCCACATTTAAACAGTCCCTATAAAAGACCCAGAATCACAGATAGCATGTAGTGTCCAGCACTGTGTCATGCTTACGTTACTCTGGATTGTGGATAGAACAATTAATCCACCCTTTTTGAGTCGGTATTAACATTGATCTTGACCTTGTCAATCATTCCCTCATATCCTTATTTGTTTTTTGAGTTTGTGTATGTGTTTATCACTTACCCTATTCATCACATCTCTTTAGTTTATTTTCATGTCTGAACATAAATAGTGAGTCACGCCTTACCAAATTGAGTTTATACGACTACCGTTTCGGCTTCCTTTCTCTTATCGTCTGTTTGTGGTGACGAGTGTATGAAATATACGTATCAAAAAACCAATCTCGCATTCGATTTAATCTTTACTGTTAATCACTAACGTGAATGAATTCGATAAATATATACGAGGGCAGGCGGTATATCTATTTCTTTACCATCATCATAACATCAAATTCGAGTCAGATAAAGGGAAATGATAAGCGACAAAAACCACAATTATAAGCTTAAATGATAGAATATAGCACACGATTCTTCTTTAATTAAAGCTGCAGTGAGTGACACTGATTTTATTTAACTATGTAGAATTAAGGCTTTTAACAACTAGTCGCCATAACTGTGAATATGAAAATAAAGGATTGAAAACTCATATTCGACGAAATCTGAGCAGGATGTGTTAAAGGTAGAATAAAATAACAAGAACTCTTCAGTTGTTTAAAGTCAACACATTCAACTAAAGTTTTAGAACTTAAAAAAATGTACGGAGTTCCGGAAAAGTCAAAACTAATCTTGAAAAATATATTCTTAGTGAATTTTGATTTCTTGAAAGGTAAGAAAGAAAGATTAGTTCAGCGAAGAGTTCTCTTTTCGGCGAATTCATTTTCAAAGCTGTACAATCGCAAATATATATACTTATTTTTACAGGGTGATAATAATACTGATAATAAACTTCTGTTATACATGGTGACAGTGAGGTTAAATAAACAACGGTATTAGAAAAAAAAATTTTAAACAAGGAAAGTTTAATAGTTAATGGCTTAAGTATTCATCGGGTAAGGATGGCTCAGCATGATAAAATAACAGAGATGAAATGTAATCGGAATGATCGTGGAAATAAAAACAAACCGGTTGGGAGTAGAAGATTTGAAGGGAAGATGGAAGGTGAAGCAGGTGGCTGTAAAGGAACAAGAGTATGAAGAAAGAGAAAAAAATTAATACATTAAGACCATAGTAAAAGAAGAGGTTGTACCAGTCTCTTTTGCACACACAATTTTGGCTTTTCCAGATGTATGGTTGTTGCTCCGGCAATGCAAAAAAGATGCAATCTAATTGTCTTTGGGAGACTTCTACTTACCTTGTAGATGACTTTGAACGCAGAGTCTGTCTTGATTGAGTGACCTGTGTTCACAAGGTGTTTGATTATAGAACTTCTTATTGAGCCGTTGCCTCCTCTTCTTAGCCACGCCGGACAATGTTCTTGAATTCTTTTGGATAAAGTGCGCATCGAACGACCTATATACCTAGCTCCACAAGAGCAGGTAAATTGGTAGATGCACATTGAGTTGGTCAGATGCTGGAGAATAATATTCATGTTCTTATCAATGAATATAGAAGGATATCCGTTTTTGATAAGTATCTCTTTTAAAAGCCGCTTATATCTTAAAGAGGAGAATTTCGGATTCTTTAAAAAGAACATTCTTCGCAGCAACATTGCGAATATTATTCTCCAGCCGATCACTGTTCACCAATAATCTGAAGGATAAATTATCGCATCTGACCAACTCAATGTGCATCTACCAATTTACCTGCTCTTGTGGAGCTAGGTATATAGGTCGTTCGATGCGCACTTTATCCAAAAGAATTCAAGAACATTGTCCGGCGTGGCTAAGAAGAGGAGGCAACGGCTCAATAAGAAGTTCTATAATCAAACACCTTGTGAACACAGGTCACTCAATCAAGACAGACTCTGCGTTCAAAGTCATCTACAAGGTAAGTAGAAGTCTCCCAAAGACAATTAGATTGCATCTTTTTTGCATTGCCGGAGCAACAACCATACATCTGGAAAAGCCAAAATTGTGTGTGCAAAAGAGACTGGTACAACCTCTTCTTTTACTATGGTCTTAATGTATTAATTTTTTTTCTCTTTCTTCATACTCTTGTTCCTTTACAGCCACCTGCTTCACCTTCCATCTTCCCTTCAAATCTTCTACTCCCAACCGGTTTGTTTTTATTTCCACGATCATTCCGATTACATTTCATCTCTGTTATTTTATCATGCTGAGCCATCCTTACCCGATGAATACTTAAGCCATTAACTATTAAACTTTCCTTGTTTTAAAAAAAAATTTTTTTCTAATACCGTTGTTTATTTAACCTCACTGTCACCATGTATAACAGAAGTTTATTATCAGTATTATTATCACCCTGTAAAAATAAGTATATATATTTGCGATTGTACAGCTTTGAAAATGAATTCGCCGAAAAGAGAACTCTTCGCTGAACTAATCTTTCTTTCTTATTTAATGTCATAATGGGTGTATTCCGTTTATTAAAAAAAATTCTTGAAATGTACAGAAATTTTTCGCTTGTGACAAATGAATAATCAATGAGTTGTTAGAGCGATCCAACCGACAGTTACAGGGTAGCAACCAGACATTAGTTAAATTACTAAGCCATTAAAAATTTACTTTTTTGCTACAAAATAACTAAAATATCTACATATCTGTGATTTGAATTTGTCTATTTGTTCAGTGGATATCCAGCATACTCATCTCCGTCATCTTGAGGTATTCTTTCTTCTTGTAAACATGTTTCATCAGTAGGAATTGTTAGATAATGAGGCTCACGCTGTAAACGTTCATGCTTTTCAAGTAATGATTTTGTGGCATTGAATTGGTAACAGACCGTCATAATAGGTAAACTAGGATTAGCTAAATGAATATAGGAACACTGAATGGATTTCTTCACACTAGATGTCTCACTGTGAGTCATAATATTACCGAAAACAGGGAGAGGGGACATAGAAACTCCACGTTCATATTGTGGACACTTTTGATAAGCTTCAAGACTGCAAATATCAAAAGCCACGCCTACTTGGCATATTCCGCAGTTGTTCATTACCGAGTTGACACATTGCTTTGGGAAATTCTGTCTGTACATTGAATGAAAGGCTAAAAGCCTCAAAAACTGACGAATCCAACCGCCATGACCTACCTAAAGAGAAAAATGTACACTCATAGTTAAGAAAATTATAAATTACAATAAAACACAAGAACAAAGTAAAACTTTCTACACCCGTCTACGCGACACAATAATAAAAATAGACAGAACACAAGACTATAAGTAGACTTAAAATTCTCTCTACACTATACCGTTTGGTGTTAACAAAACGAGAAAACAGTGAACTTTTGCTTCCTTACACTTTGTCCACTCGTGAGAAAAGAGGATCAGAAAGTGACTTGACTATCTTGTCTGTCCGTGTAATACAACTACTATTTTAACGCTAAATAAGCTTGTATACATTTAGAGAAGAGGTGAGCCCAAACAAACCTTATTCATTTAATAAATTCAGAATTTTTACTTCAGCTATATTCGCAGTTTTATACTATGGTTACATTTATTGATGACTATCGTAACCAGTGGATGCAGACTCGGGATGGCATGGATCAGGATCGATCACAATGGCGTAGGTGTATACACTCTTTGTCTTCCCTTAAACCGTGAGATTTGTGGCAAGCCCATTTGGCCACTGTATCATTTGTCTATTCATTGTAACTCAGACTCTTAATTCACTATGTTAATTTCGGTGTGTATGATCGAATGCATGTCTGTACATTAACTCTTAAGCTATCCTCCTATTGGTTTCAATGTGCAGGTAATCGATAATTTATCCACACCCGATTAACTCTCAAAAATATATATGGGTTTTAAACACACACATACTCACTGTTTCATCGTGTGCTTGCTCACCGTACGCTTGTGGATTTCTATCAATCATTAACAATAAACTATCTCTATAACTGGTGTTCAGGCTTCTCAATAATCTCGAATAAATCCGCAATTCTACTAGGAGATTAAGCCTACCTTAAATACTCAGTTTACGGGATATTATTTATTGGAGTCAGATATTGAGGACATTAGCCTCAACAAATTAAAATCGCTTCATATTTTTCTTTCTACGAACTGATTCTTTCTTCCTGTACTATGTCCATGTATGTAATCTTTCTTTTATATATTACCACCACTGAATTAACTGCTTCTATAAATTCGGTGTTCATCTTGTTGTGCTAATGAGGTATGGCAACTCGGACCGATGCACGTATGTCCCTGATCCTACGTTGTAGGTGGCTGACATCTATCAACATTTATAAATAATGAATTTGGACTATCTGTATAAACTATTACGTCGTTCACACATTGTCAGTTAAATTCATACCACATCAGTCAATGTAGAGTCTGATATAGATGTGCGCTGCTCCAATTCGCCATACCATGTTAACAAAATAAAATGAAATTAATAAAATGAATAGCAAAAGAAATCGAAATAATATAGTCGCAATGATAATGAAAAATACTGAGCAGTAAGAATAGTTTAAAAGATAGAGTGGAAAATTATGCATGACGGAATACTAAGTTCACGATGGTATTAATTTAATGTCATTTCAATGAAAGAATTAACTGCACCAAATCACTTTCTGAATTATATGTCTGAAACTCTCCCGCAAACCCTAAATGGCTTCAGATGATCGAGTTAGCCATCCCAGATGCAGTTTTCTTATCTCTGACTTACGAACAACACGTTTGCGACTAAGTAAAAGTCAGTCAATCACACTACAGAGATCTGCATTTATGCACCTAGTGCCTAATAAAGATATGTCTATGTATGAATAAACTGGACAACAGTAAGTACTGAACCCATTAATAGACTGATTGATTCTGATGCCTAATACATGAATTTACATCAATTTGATACGCAGAAAACCCCATATGAATTAAATCTATTGAATGAGATACAATAAAACATGCTAAAATCAACTAAAAGATAATCAAAAATCTACCTAAAAACAAAAGATACATACAAGTTCAAACTGATTAATAATAATAAATTAAGTGAGATCATGAACAGATTAATATTGGACCACCATTGAAAACCTGGAAGTAGTGGGAGGTCGTTTCGTCGTAGCGCACCCACGATCCCGTACACAGGACTCGAACCCAGAACCCCCTGCCTCAAGCGCGAAAGATCAACCTCTAGACCACTGAGCCAGCATCCAACCCTTGGTCTCAATTAAAACTCAACAATCTCCACAACCCTATACTGATAATTATCACATGTTCGCTAGTGACCAGCCTTGAGAGGTAATTTTTGGAGTCCTAGTGAGAAACCGTCACCAGTGGAGTTCAGCCGTGTCGGGTGTGCGGTATTTACTCATCGAAGACAATGGGAGATGGCCACTCAATATTGTGGACTGGTTGTATTTCGACAAAAACAGCGTCGGATCCCGGCTAAGTGGTCTGGAAGTCAGGCGTTCGCGCGCCAGACCGGGTCCCGAGCTCGAGTCCCGCGCGGGGGTAGTGGAAGCGCTTTGCTAAGGAGTCTCGTACAAGAACGAAGCGGTCTACCAGGTTTCCAATGGTGGTCTAATATTGATCTGTTCATGATCTCAATTAAAACTCAACAATCTTCACAACCCTGTACCGATAAATTAAATGATAAATACTGCTAATATCCCTTAATTATGAGTGGATAAATGAAATCGTATGACTCGTGTACTATTCATAATTCCATTATAAGAATCATATCCGATCTCAATTGTCCTATTATACGTTTTTCTTATGATCTTTCCTAGTTTCCGCATTTTTTGTTACTGTGCGAGGATTTTCTTTGTTTGACTTGTTATACAAAAAAGATATTTTTAGCATAAGCAAGAATTAACTTTAGCAATTTGTCAGTCGCTGTATATTTTTTATTACCTTATCTTGTTCCTAATTCTTTACCCTGGACTTTTGAGGAAAGGATGAGATGTTGTATGTGGATCAGTGAAAGCTTTTATTAGGGTCAGTATTTAAGCTTTCAACTGTTAGGAACACGGTTGTGGATAGACACTTAAAATCTTGCAAACAGACTAAATAAAAACCAGTCACTTTTCTTTTATCTATTCTCTGGAAAATCGAGATAGGAATACGTTGCAATCAATCCATGTGAATCAACACACAAAAGCACTACAATACTTTTTTTAGGACATATATTAAGTGAGCAAAAGTGACAGAGAACTAACAGAAACTTTTGAGTTTGAAGACAAGTAGTTATTAATCATAGTTGTGAAGACATCCTAAAATATGTTCAGTATAAATTCAATTTAAGAACTTATAGGACTATTTTACTCTAAGAATTCTCTAACATGCTAAATATATAATACTTAGTAGAGCAATTATTAATAAGCAATTAACATTTAATTATTTTCTTCACTTTAATAAACAAGCGTTTTTCAAATACAAGCACTCGAAGATACTCTAGATACGACAAAATCGTACAACGCTTTTGTCAGGGAACTTCAAGTAGCGGCCTGCTTGAGCATCTGGGCTACCTGTTCCTGCCATCTAGATATTTCAACAAGTTATCTATTTTTGTTTGTTTTAATATATCATTATGTTTATTAATCGCATGACCTATTCTGTTGCGTTTCTGAAAAGTCTACAACCTTTCGTTGTAAAAGTTACAAAAAACTCAATAAGAGACAATGTGGTTGCTGGCAATATACAGCGAAAAGAATGCACATTATTCATATGTTCATTTACTGAACTGCTAACATCTAACTGGCGATCACCCAACATTTATCGCCAGGACCGACCAAGAAGAAAGAAACGGAAGCTTGTTGAAATACTTTACGCTGAGAATTCTATATTGTACCAAAAATATAATATTGAATAAAGCTGACGACAATAATAATAATAATAATATATTCAGCAGTCAAATAAGAAACAGGATGATAAGAGTTGGAAGTTACGACGTCACGATGGTTGACCAAGCGCCTACATCTCAGTTCTCGTTAGAACTAACAGTATAAACATCCATGTACAATCTACAAAATCATTTATTTTTCCCGGTTATTTACTAATACGAACGAATTTAAGTAAATTACTAATAGACCACATTGTGAATAGACAGTGCGAAAACTACCGTTAGATAAGTTATTACATCAATTTGTATGCACTACTGTTCCTTAGTGATCACCATTCTTTGTTATTGTAGTTCCCGTTACCAAAATAAATAATACAGAAAACAATAAGATTCAACACGTAAAAATTTAAAATAGTATCTTTTATAACCTTTCTAGCGAAGACTCCATTACAATATGGTATCGTAATATGTAAAAGAATTGATGATACATTGGACTTACAATAAGAACATGTCCTGCATAAGTGGATATAGGCGATTCTGCAGCTTTGGCATTTACATTTGGAAAGACATCAAGATTCTTACAAATTAGCTTCCCCATCGGTAGCAAATCACTAGACCCTATGATTGGAAAAGGATCTTGACAAGAAACGTTGGTATGCTTCACCCTTGTTTCTACAAGACGAGAACACAGATCCAGAAGGAAGTCATTTGTCCGACTTGCCATCTATAACCATTATGGGAAGTAAAATACAAATAATCACACTTAGTGGAGCCTATACAACCAAAAACAAGTTCAAACTAGTAAAATCATTCGATAATTAACAATTTGAAAATAAACAATAACATTTTTACTCCAACTAAGTTTAAAATTATCACATCTATTCAGTAAAAAGAAGTTGCATTAGATTCGTTGATAATAAATCTCAGATAAACTAAAAGTTCGACTGTATGGAGAATACTATGATATAAGGACAATATGATGTATAACAAAGATCTTAAACGAAATAACAGTATCATTAGAGATTAGATAGTCACAACCTTTGGCATCTATTTCCATATAACCAAAACTCAAACAAATGGATGACCAACCAAGAAACACTTGGTTTTAGAATAAAATATAAAAAATAATGATATGTTTAGAATGTTGACAAATATTCCATTGTTGTATAAGTGGTTGCAACTACAGGTCTAGCAATATCAATACCGTACAGTATTGATAATTTATTGATTTCTGAATAATTAATAACTAAATATAAGTTTAAGTATGAGAACCCGATTTACATATATCGTGTGAAGGATCACCCAAGTAAAAATAGACAGAGGTTCGATTCTGCAAACAAACATTAAGTTTAACCCAGCAACTAACTGCACTTCCGCATTGTGCAATCGGAAAGGGAATACAATACCGATTGCTACAAAGTTAGGCAAAAGATATTAGTTTAAGAGACATGCAAAATAATTAGAAGTAAAAACCTCTTTCATATTTGACCTCAGTTTACCAAGTAGTTGTTGCTCACCAACATTTGGTGATAATATTTCGAAGTTTTCACTCAGTCAGCTAAAACGTAGGACCAGACACATATATGCATCGGTTCAAGTTGCCACACCTCATTAGCACAGCAAGATGAACACCGAATTCATAAAGTAGTTACTTCAATAGTAGTGATATGTAAAAGATTGTGTATAAGGATATAACCCAGGAAGAAAGAATCAGTTCATAGAAAGAAAAGTATAAAGCAATTTTAATCTCACAATCTAAGGGAAGACAAAGAGTGTATACATCTATGCCGTTGTGACCGATTCTGATCCATGTCACCCAGAGTCCCTAACAGTAGTCAGCATTGCGCGCCGTGGTAATCGGTGTTCAGACATACATAACAACGTGACCCAACCAACTCAGTCGATGAAGATTTATAACCTCACCAACTGATTTACATCACTCAGGTTTTCACTAAGACATCCAAAAACCACTACATTGCAAAAATTATAAATTTTTGACAATGGTGATTACAAATAAAAGTGTTACACTTCGTTTATTGTATTTTTGCTTATCCTTGAAGTAATATAAGCAAATTTATGACGTACACCAAAGGTAGGATATAAGGTCTTCATTTAGAAAAATAAGTTCAAACAATTTACATTTCATTCAGTAAGCAAAAAGTACTGAAAATATAACTGTGATATCACCTCCACAGATAACAAAACACGTATAACTGTTTAAACAATATTTTAAAAAATCAATAACCTCATGAGTACATTCTCCACCAATGTTGCGCCAGCCATCACATTCAAATCCAGTCTTGAAATTTGTTTCTGTGAATTGCTGAACTTCAGATCTTGGGCGACCAGTAAGAGATCCGAAGTTCTGTCGTACCAATCAGTTAATAAAGTGAATCTAAACATACTCTTTCACGTATTCGTGATTCCAGTTCAATAGCAGACGGGTCGGTTATCTCATATGCCGTCTAAGAAAATACACACAAATTTAAATGCAAGTATCAATGAAATGCTATAACACTACATAAGATACACGTTGCCAGCACCACTACCAAATTTACTACAGAGTTAACAGCAATATTTGACTTCACCGTCCTATTGATTTAATTTCAACTGGATCGATCATAAAACTTCTACGTCCACAAGTATAACACATGTACATAATAAGCTATCAAATATTCGAAAAAACAAATAGGAAATCTACCATCAATGCACGGAACACTGTTTGAATTAAGAATGCATTAAAATTCTGACAACGATACTACTTTCAACTGTCAAGCTACATGCTTAGGACCTGATTTAACAACTTTGCCTTGAGAATTGGGGTAGCATTACTCTTTCTCACACTAAGGTTTCCGCAATTTAAAATCTTAAGGTAGCTGTTTTACTGAGTATTTACCTTTACAAGGTGTTTCTGTACCTATGATTCGATTTAAAATCTACATACAAAATAATGGTTGGGTGAATTACATCATATAGATAGCCGACCAGTCATAACTGACACGCATTAGTCACCTTATTCTAAAAGCAGCTACTTCTCAGTACAATTTTTTACAATGTTCATATCGAAAAACTGGTCCAAGTAAATTATGATTCACGAAGGCTGATTCCTAACGCAGTTTGTGGGCTAGTTCCTTACTACAAAATGAAGATAATTGTCCTTATTGATTGGGTAAAATAAGGAAGCAAATCTTAATTATGCCTTATTTTTATTTCGCTATATAAAACAAGTTGAGCAAGAATAAAATCCTTTCAGTCTTATTTTATTATTACACAGTTTGAGTATAAGAATCATTCATCGATAACACTAAACTGTAAGTATAAAAACTAAAGTAACTGACTCATCACGATTCCTGTTGACCAATAACAGACTTATGACTATTTACTGAGAACGTAAACAGGTATACTTCTCGCCTTGAAAAATATGTTTGTTCTGAAGAAAACTTTCATGACAAAAACCCAAAATCATAAAAACGCAAAATTTGCCCAAGTGGTTCAGATGGTATTGGATGAAATTGAAGCTCTCGCTTAACGGGTTTTCGTATCTAGTAGCAATGGATCAGTCTTCAGTAATAAGGATAGTAGGTTGGTAAACCTGTGTTAATCCTGACAGATTGCCTTTCAGTGAAGGTCCAGCTTCTCCTTGAAAATATTTACTGATGGGGCTGATACCACTTGTTCGGATAAGGCGTTCCAGTCACTGACTACTCGATGAGAAAAACGGGACCTTACTTTAAGTTTATTAGATCATGGTTTGTGAACCTTTTTGCTATGACCTCGGAGATTATTAGTGCTGGAGGGAGCAAAAAGATAAGACATATTAACACCCAAATCATAACTACGAAATGCCAGTGCAAGGTCACCTCGCGCTCTACGATACGACAAGGGGAAAATGTTTAGGCGTTTTAAACGCTCATCGTAAAGGTGTTTAGAAGGACCCTTCACTAATTTCGTTCCCACACGCTGGGCACGCTCAAGTGAGTTAGTATTCTTTACCAGAAATGGGCCAGCTGCTTGGATACAGTACTCTAAATGTGGTCTTACATAGGTGGGATATAAAATTCGAAACATTACCGACGCCTTTAAGTAGTAGCTTAGATATATTTAACGATAGCTCCCAAACGCCCTAGTACGGCCGAGAGTGGGAAGAGTCCGCTCTCCCTCTCGAAATACTCTCACATGGCCACGCGTATATAGCCTCTGCCAGGGAAGTCCTACTCACTGCCTTCTCGTGGCGGGGTGTTGTTTACGAAATTGAGAGGACGAAAAGCGAATGTCCGGCGCTTTAACCGGATTCCAAACCAATGGCGCACATGGGCTCCAATATCCTGAGGGAACAAATGCCGTATGAATCAACCGTTGGTCACCGGCTACTATGGGACTACATCTCACGATGCCCCACTGCCTTGTGGGTCAGACCTTCAGGTCAAAGGCTCGGGGTGTGGCCCCCTAAGTAAGCCACCTGCTTTGGTCTGGGCACCCTGGCAATATCACAGCCCTCACACATATCAAATGAAATCTGTGTGGCGCATATTTATTTGGTGCCTTCTTGTACCAATATCTATGTGTTAAAATATGTATAAAAAATAAATGAGAAATATCAGTGAAGTATAGTGAAATACTGTTCTGCCTTCTTAATATGTCAGGTTTCCTCTTGAAGGAATCCCGGAAAGTCGCTTGAACCACTTCAGCCCACAGAGCGTTCCAGAATCTGACTGCTTATAAGGAACAGGTATACCTACAGTCCACTATGTTGTTGTGCCTCGAATTTCTGAGTGTCATTACAAAGATTTTTATTGAGACTGAGCTTAGGTAGATGTTTTAGGGGGTAACCAGGAGTGATTATGATGCCAGAAGTCATTTGGAAGTCAGTGACCTCTTTATTTACGCTTTCGTTCCCTTTTTCCTCTTTACTTCCCCTTTATTGGTTGCTTGGGTCCTCTGAGACACCATACTAAGCATGTAGTAAGCAGCTAATGTGGGGTTTTTGGATGCTTCGCGAAACCAACATTTGCATTTGTCACACTGCATACCACAGGTGACAGAGAAAAAGCATTCAGTGATCTTATAAAATCACTAAGTGATCGCGGTGAAATATAAGTTGTTAAATAAATTTTGGGAAAAGTTAACAATCGTGAAAAAATCTCTATTAAGATAATCAAACTAGAGAACTTGTCTTGGCTATTTAAGGTAGTTAAAACAAAAATAACAAGTTCACCAAATCAGATTTTTCGTTAACGAGACAATTGTCTCAGGAAAATCAGTAACTTACGTATCTAGCTCTTTTTAGATCACTTGAAATAATAATATCTGGTTTGCTTTGGTTAATGAGGGCCCGAATATCCCTAGCTTGTTCCAACCCAATTGCTGATAGATCGGTATCCAAGTGACCTAAAACGTCAAAATCTAAACTAAAAATAAAAGTAACCTTGAATCACTTGATTTTTATTTTCAGCTGTTTCTCCACTGCAAGATATTTCATTATTAGACTGATTCTTACTGTCTTAATAGCGTCAAATAGAAATATAGGATTTCTCGTTTCATATTTTAGAAGGAAAGATAATCTGTAAACACAGTGAACCCATAAATCGTAGGTTTGAAGGTTTGGTACTACAAATTATCTCACTACCAGTTTCTGACAAAATATCTACCAACAACATATAACACAAAAAATTATTAAGAAAATTAAATACGCATAGGGGACGTGTCACTAAAAGTTACGAAACAAAATAGTTATTTGTACATAAGCACAAATATATTTAAGCAAACATGTATATAAAAATTATCATCATACTGACCGCGCTATTTGTAACCGCGCCAGTTGTAACGGGTTAAAATCATCATGTATGGTGTTATTAATCGGTTCTATTTTCTTTCTATTGCACGGAAACCAAGAATAAATGCTTCAGAAGAAGAGCAAGCTCTACATGTACTGGACCTACAGGAAGACTCATAAAACTGTTTTGTAAACTAGCTCTCCCTTCTGTACATAACCCGCGAATTTTCAATTTTCAAATAAACGATTGGTTTCAGGCTCTCCCCGCCTGTCAGTGACTCTTGATTTTACGTGTTACGACTGATAATGGAGTTGTCTACGAAAAAACGCGACGAAAATTTAGACGAAACCCCTGTGATCCCAATCAAGGCTGCACCTGGTTCAACCAATCGCCAACCACCACTGCTCGAGACTTCGTCAAATTACTCTGTTTGGAAATTTAAAGTCATAGCGAATCTACAGAGAGTTCCAATGGCCGAACATTTCAACTACCTGGTATCCCATTTGAGTGATGCAGCATTACGAAAGGCTACAGCCAATGGTTTCGCGGCAAGTAACACGCCTTCACAAAATTGGAGAACCTAGGATGACTGTTTTTCCGTGCCCATGGACGCTCAACAGGTGACGATCCAGTTCTTATCACGTCACCAAAAAGCAAGCAAGAAACCAATCGACTGCCTTAATTCCTTGCAGCAAATTGCGATGCAGGCATTCCCTCGTTTAGGTGTCATGGGACGAGAGGAATTAGTACGTTCACTTACTGTCGAATGGCTGGTGCCAGGTCCACTAAGAGAACACTTTCTTCGAAGCCCACCAATCGATACACCTGACTTAAAAAGAACAACACTCCACTTCCTGGCTGCAGACAAACTAGCGAATCTATCAGATGCACATAAGCCATCAGTGATGACTGTGGAACGAAACACAGTATCAACTGATGGATACGGTAAAGCTCAGATATTCTCCAGATCTGTTACACGAATGCCCGGAGCTAACTTAACAAAAGATTGGAGCTAGGTGTACAGATAGACTCTACCAAGCCGGATGTAACCGGTTACAGAAACTTGGTTGACGCATTAGGGAACTTGATTTGGGTGGTTTCACACTCGTAAGAGCCGGCAGAATCCAGAAGTGTGAAGAGGGAGTAGCTCTATTCATTAGAAATACTATGACACTTATCGTTATCGATAACATACCCCATGAAAGTGGCACGTACGATCTAGTTAGTTGCCGCTTTAAATGCAAAGGACAAGAGCTGATCGTTGGTTTGATCTATCGCAGTCCAAACTGTGAGGTGAATGAGATCTGGCTAGACGGTTTCAGCACTTGATTATCAAGTATTCGATGTTTAATCTTAGGAGACTTTAATGCACCTACGGTAGACTGAAAAAATCTGAGGACTGAATTTCCAGAAAATCCTTTCGAACAGAAATCAGTCGTTGCGGTTATCACATGTGCCCTAGTGCAACATGTTAGAGAGGTAACTAGGCACGAATTGCACTCCAGATCATTCTTATTAGATCTCACATTGACCCGTTATGAGAATGGCATCACAAACCTTAATTATATTCTACTCCTAGGTAAAAGTGGCGATGCCGTTCTAGTCTTCAATTTCCATAGTTGTCAATAACGAGGATGTGTCAGCCCAACCCAGACCTGACGCCTGAAAGCAAATATAGAAGATATTATACACTCAGCACCCTTAATAGATTGGACTATAGAACCAGTCCTCCGTCGAAACGACCTGGGGTGTATTTAGAAATTTATACTTAAAAGTCACTGCCCGCACATCCCTTGAAATACATCAAGGGGTCGAGAAGCCCCCCACACAGTGGCTCAGTAAAGGTGTTCGTACCCTTCACCGTAAGAGATGAACGTGGAAGAAATTTAGGTTACTGAGTACTGACGAGACAAAATCTCAATATCGGGAATCTCGAAATATTCGTGCCTCGACCTTCAGCGAGTCTACACGACTGTACAAAGAAATATTTGTTAAGGAATCTATAGAATACCCTAAACGCTTAAACGTATATATAAACTAAAGGACTAAGAGGAGAAGTATTCCAGCATTATGGAAAGACAGTAGTACTGCATCATTAGTGGGAGACGATTACGGTAAAGCTCAGATATTCTCAAATTACTTCAACAATGTATGTGCCGTAGAGACGCCCTTCCCCTCAGTTCATGCAAGCCCCTCACACATACACTGGACACTGCGACCTTTAAGTGACCTGATGAAATGCATCTTAGGTTACTAAGGGAACTAGCTGACTTCATTGCGAACCCCTTAAGTATATGTTCTAATCTATCCGTAACCCAGGGTCGATTACCAAAAGACTGGAAGAACGTCATAGTAATTCCTAACTTCAAAACACACACGAAACATAAAAACCTGAGGACTACCGACCCAATAACCTAATCAGTGTGGTTGCTAGAAGTCTGAAAAAGATTATTCGGAAGCTGTTTAAGTATCTCGACGAAAACCGGATTCTTTCTGAAAAGCAGAATGGCTTTGGAACAGGTCATTACTGTCTCACTAACTTATTAGATGACCACCGGGATCCGCGACAGTGATGTTTGTTCCATCAGTTCAAAGCGTCAAGCGACAGAAGATAACACCATGGATCTCTTTCATACTTTACCTTAATACTCACACTTGTTTTCCCAATATTCATCCTAATCGAAGACATTGTAAAACTCTCCAAAGAAGCACGTTACTAAGATATTTTTTCTAGATCACGAGAAACAGAAAACTCCGGTTGGTTTTTGGTAAGACAGTAAGCATGGTGAGTCTTCTAGACATTGCAGGGAACCTCGCAGTTTCCCCAGTTCCAAACCTGCCGTCACGACAAACCTCTCGGGAAATCCCGTCGTCCGGCACTTTTTAGCAGCAACCGTAGTCAGTGAACGTAGCATTCTGTTATGCATCACTGGTGTGGTTGTGAAAATTCTCTATCTCTTTGACATTGACGCAGAAGTTATCGTCCTTCCCGCCATTACCAGTCACCGTACATGATATCGGGCGGTGATTGGAAACCCAACTCCCCTCTTTTCCTCACTGTTTTTTACATGATCGGAGTATTCTACATAACAGATTACGATTCAATTTCGAAAAATGAGTCCAGAATTTGACAATATGATCAGTTACTGGTTGGCTATATGGCTGTTAATCGCTGTTTCAATAACTTTCTCTACAGTTTTATACGAAGGAAAAGTGAAGTTAATCAAGCAACAGTTATTTACATGCAACCTGTAGACTTTACAAAGTACAGGACAATATATTTGGAAGCGCCCATCTGAGTTCTCGTCAAATATTTCGATGCTCAGGACGGGAGAATCTGAGCTATCACATCTAAAGAAATTAACAGGTATTCCAAAAATTTATAATATATCGTGAGCCCATGTGATTAGGAGGACACCTAAATCAATTACAAGACGGATAGTTTGAAGCAGTGTTGACACCTCGATTGATCCGTATCTTACTATAATATTTCCGTATACCCGCTAGACTTGTGCCGAGCGCCCGAGGATAATCTTTCATTACCACATGACTCACTTATAAATATAAATATATCTTATCCTACACAGTAGCTTGACATCCGTCGTTACTGTTTGCTACACATCCATAGCCTACCGCTGTTGATAGCATTTCGGAAAGCATATCTGACCCCAGACGCCCAGATGGACTCACAAGCACATGCCCCGTACAGTGGCTACTTGACCTTTAGGTTACCTGTAGTGATGTAAGTTTCGATTATTGAACTAAAGACATGTCCCTCTCTTCAACTAAGTATGCACGGGCTGATCACCAAATACACAATAGGAACAAGTCTGTACTCAATTACGTCGACTACAACAATTTAGATGTAAACTTCATCAGTGTCAATTCTAAGAGAAGTCGGATAGAACTTAACCTCGCCCAAACTATTCATGATTTATTACCAAACAACGTCCCAGAGAGTTCTGATCTCAAACACTAAAAATGTAATTGAACATATACATTTAAAAAAGCTTGAAAGACTTCAGTGTGTACAGTGTCATAGTGTTCGGTATGCCTGACAGTGCAAACCTAAGGTCTGTTAAAAAAATTTCAATACAAGGTTGTGGCATATCGTGTTATTAGGGTGCAACACGAAGATTACGTAAAATCCAGACTAAAACCTACTGTTTAATTCACTCTCAGTTTTGTAGTACCACAGAAGCAAATTACTTCACAAATAATCAGTCTTCATTTGAGAGTATCCTAACATTCTAACACTGCTGATTACATTCCGTTTACTCAATAGAGCAGCTTTGACGGTTACAGACAATCTTTTAACAACAGTGATAGAACCTTTTGGAATCCTCTTTAAACATATGGTGTGCCTGGAAAGATCTACTCCATCACTCAGAACTCCTGCAAGTGACTGAATTTCAAAGTTTATGTGTGGAGGACTGTCGTCAGGTTAACTCCAGATGAAGACCAGTATCAGACGAGAATATCTACTTTCGTTTTTTCTTTTTATTCTGATTGTTGACTAGATCATGAATATCTCCACATCTCAGAAGAATTACAGAATAAAGTGGATATATTGGACGGAAATGCATTATTTGAAATTTATGGAAGGCTGAGCAACGAATACAGACGAAGAAGGCTATGTTAGTAGTAATCCTTACGACAGCAGGCCACAAGATGCACAACGAGAGAAGCAAAATACTGACATATAGCACCAAGAACACCGACTAAATCTCATTTAAAGAAGCTCTAGAAGAGATGGAAAAATTTCCATACTTGCGGAGTATCGTTGATGAATAAAAGGAATCTGGCGCAGATATGAGGGCATGGATTATCAAAAGAAGTCTGTATTTCTACAGTTCGAGAGTGTCAGGAACTCAAAGCAAATGTCAGCGGACATCAAAGCTAGAATTTTCGTGATATGTTAAAACAATTCTATGATATGAAGCTACAATCCGAACTTTCACAGCCACTAGAAAAATTGTACAGGCATTTGAGTGTGAATATATAAAATGAACTCCAAATCCATTGGCCAGAGAGCGTCAGTAATAACCTTTCCCAGTAGAGGACAAACGAACTGCTATATGAGGAATAAGTCAAGCAAAGAAGCCCCGGACGAGCAGGATACACTCCATGGAAACCACTTGACTGAACTGAGAAGCAAGCTGTAATTTGCAACGATCATGGTTAGAGGAAAGGAACACAGGCCAAAGAATACTTAGCGCTAATAATTGGAGTCAGACAACAAGGCCATCAATAATGCTTGATAAAAACTGGAAAGTGGGGCCCAGAAAAGAGATGGTTGGAGATTCCTAACCATACACCAATGTCTCTTGATGGTTAACAGGCTTAAGCAAGTAGTTCATATAATTTGCTTCTGTAGACGAAGTATAAAAATAAACATTTTGTGTTCGTAATATTGTCGTACATATGGGCATGGTTGTCCCTGCCTTTTGGCTTTCTAGGTATGCTCACTTGCTTTAATACATGTGTAACCTTATTTGACAGGCAATCACTGTAGAATTTAAACTAAGGTTTGGACTGAAGAGTAAATGTCTATGTAGTTAAGATATGCGGCATTGTCCAGTTGAAACCAAAACAAGGTGATCGAGTAAATGACAGTTATAGGTTTCATCATAAATATAAATGTACATCCTTAGCTAAACAAATATTACCCCTCAGTTATTCAGCTAATATTTGTTCATTTGATCAAATCTAAATTACAATAAATAAATAAGTTGACAAAGGATGTAAGAAAACTACAAATCGCCACAATTAAATGTTATTCTATTCTTTCTGAATAGATCACGTACAGATTCATTCGAAAGATAATATTTAGTTGCTTTATAACAGTGTTTCCAACTCTGGAAGAGTGTCTCGATTCACAATAAAAAAATGCACAATTCCAGTTAATGCGAGTATCACAATCAAAGGGGGAACAAATTAATATAGCTACCGCCAAGACTATGCATCAACTAAAACAACACAAATACAGTTCAGGAAGAAACATGGAAACTCAGTGAAGACGTAGGAAAAATAAAACCTATGATAATGTAGCGGTAAATAAATCCCCAAAATAAATAGCTCTGTAGGTTTTCGGCATTGGATGCTGACCATATGTTTTAGTGGACTCATCTAGCTGAAGGCGCTCGGTCATGCATCCGCATGTGGTATCACGTGTGGTAACGCTATGCTCAACATCTACCGCAATCGCTAGCCAGATTAGATCAGAGAATTCCGATATATTGGTTATCTCCAAATACACTCTTCCGATCTTCTCGACTCTGTCTTTTGACTTCTCTCGGTGGGTACAAATTATATTAGAAGGTGTTGCAGGTAAAAGCGTTGTCAAACACTAAATACCTGTGTCATCATCAATAAAATACAAATATTATCATCTCAGATGGAATCAAAAAGACTAGTAAAATGTTCAACTGAACGAATCAATAAGAACAAATTACATGTGCATACGTATAGGGCTTTTGTACACAAAAAACGTACAAAATGGATCTTATACCTACATTTCCCATCCTTTATTTTCCGGCTCGACTGAAACAGATCAATAAGGCAAGATTGGAGGTCCCAGTTTTTCGATGCGCTACATAATTATTGTTCATCCTAATTGTATTTGACGTATGAACTTGCGGTCATGATCGTCCAAACTTATTAAGTCATAAGAAGTGTATTTACCAACGAAGGACCGTTGGGTTTAAACTTCCGTCTATTCACGTTTTAGGTTTCTCGCGACCCTGTCAGGATGGAGACTGAGCTGTAGCAAAAGCGAATCCAGAAGCCTGTGTCAGTCTTTCTGATTGATGCTGATTTTCTTGGTTTTACTAGATACCATCTAAGGGTGCTTGATCAGGCTACCTGATCAAATCACGTTTACATACCTCGTAGAATACCTTCCATAGCTATGAGGCCTAGACACTATAAGCCACCATATCTCTGGCTAAAATTCATATACATCCTCTTTTTCGTCAACCGCAACTTCTGGCTTTACTAGCCTTAAGATCAGTTCATTAGGAGAAATCTTTACCGTAACACTGTCAAATCATACGTGTCTAATACCTCTTCATGCATCGCTCGCATCCCACAAATTCACAAACTTATACGACAAAAGCTGCATAAGTCTTTGTTGTCATGATCTCAGCGAACAAAAAACACACAGAATAACCAAGAATCTCATTGATATTATTTCGAGAAATAGCCAAGCCCTGTTTATGATGTGGAAAAATTTATGATAATATTTATCAGAAATTTTCAGGTTTTTAAAGACTGTTTAGTTCTGAAGACCTTTGGGAAAGGAACGAGTAATCGGTGACCTAAGTTGGAACTTGAACCTTGTTTTCATGCAGATATTAAAACTCATTCAGAAAAAGAGTAGAGAAAAAGCTGTTCAATCATAGTAGGAAGGTTCAAAAACCGCGATCCCATAAATTTAGAGTAGGGTTCCATTTCTTCTCACAAGACGTCCTCTCTAGGAGTTTCATATGTAAATGCTCGTAGTCTAAGTAATAAATTCTATGAATTAGAAGCATTAGTGAGCAAATCAAGGACACTAATCGTATCTGAGACTGAAACGTGCTTAGACTATGACTTAGATGCTACTCCAAGATCATCTGGTACCACTGTCTAAGAAGCGATGGAAATAGATGCAGGGATACATAGCTAACAATATAAATATCCAATAAGTTACAACAAAACTATTCGAAACCCCTCACGTGAAACTCTCTCAAAGGAGTGTCTGCATGATGAATTCGCTCTCATTACACATCGCATACGTGAAAACGCGTACCGAGAAAAGTTAATAGAAAGGTATGTTAAAATCAACCTTCGGGTTAAATACGACGCAGTTGAAGAGAAAACCGACTTCTTGCAATTACGCTTCAAAGAAGATTTTTAGCGGCCCGTGATGTAACTCTATTTTGATCGTTTCTGCTTGCTGTCGAGATATACATATCGCCCTTTCTGGTATATATATATATATCAATTTAACTGACGTTAGTAAATAACAGAATTAAATATGTCAAATAGCGGGGAAGATTTGTAACTCAGGTGGATGATTTTGATGGAGTTTTGTTCTCTGAGCTGGATGGTTTGGGCGTAGGGCTTTCATCGCTCTTCTGAACAACATCATCAGCACAAACTTCAGATAGTAGTGAAGTGTTCGAATTTCTCCATTTGTGTCTCACAGCTTGTTCTGCACACCTCGATGTTTATTGGTTCTTATTGACCTTAAATTCGTCATTGTTTACTTCTTTGTTTTGGCTGTGTCCCCCATTGGTTTGATTTTTTTCCTATATTTGTTCATAATTATCCTGATTGGTTGATAAATTGGATCGATTTCAATATGCTTGTTGATTGCTGATTGACCTGAGTGCCAGGCTTCTAAAAATTCTCTGGTGTTTTTGGGATTTCCTCTGTCCAAGATTTCCACTTCTTTCCAATCGAATGAGTGTTCGAAGTTGTCCACGTGTATTGGTATAAGTGAGGAAATGTGGCGTTTGACTGCTAATTAATGTTCATGCAGGCGAAGGTGAGGGGGGCTTCCACTTTGTCCGATGTAGTGTTTTTCACAGTTGGCACAATTTATTTTGTAGATGATGTTTGATTTGTCTTCCTTTCTTGTTTCATCCTTTGGTTTGCATAGGATTGATTGTAGTGATTTTGTCGGTTTGTGTGCTACACCTATTACGAAGGTTTTCAGCAGACTCGTTGCGGTTTCTGATATTCCTTGTATGTACGGTAGGGTGATCCTTTTGTTGATTTTTGTGCTTGATTTGGGTTCTGATGCTTTGTGCCGTTGGTGCTTTTTGATGAAGTTGATTGGGTAGCCGTTCTTTTGAAATATGTCCTTCAGGTATTTCTCTTCATTTTTTCGTGCTGCTAGTGTGCTGCAGTGTGTCCTCGCCCTCTTGAACAATGTGTGTACACAGTTGATTTTGTGAGCTCTTGGGTTGTTGCTGTTGTAATTGAGGATTTGATCTGTATGTGTCGGTTTCCTATATACTTGAGTTTCCAGTTTTCCTGTGTCGGTTCTACTAATCAATATATCCAAGAATGCTAGTTGGTTGTTCGACTCCTGTTACATTGTGAACTTGATGTCATTGAAAACGTTGTTGGTCAGTTTGTAAGTTTTTTCCAGCTCATTCTTTTCGACGATGACGAAGGTATCGTCTACATAGCGAATCCAAATTTTGGCTTGATCACTGGTAATATCGCGGCTTCTAGTCTTTGCATCACTGCTTCTGCGATCAGTCCCGATATTATTGATCCCATTGGTGTCCCTTACGTTTGTTCGTAGATTTTGTCGTTGAATTGAAAATATGTTGTTGGGCATAAATCGATGAGTTCTAGTAGACTTTGAATTTGAAGCTTCGTGTACTTAGTGAGATTTGGGTGGTTGGTGAGGAGCAGGGATATAGTTTTTTGCCAACCTTGGTTCGATTGAGATGAATAACGCCATTACATCAAAGGATATCATCAATTCGTCGTTGTTGATTTGAATGTCCTTAATTTGGTCCAGGAATTGTGAAGGGGATTTGATGGAGTGGTTGGATGAATCTAATAAATGTTTCAATATTCGTGAAATTTCTTTTGACAAATTGTATGTTGGTTTTCCGGGGAGTGCTACAATTGGACGTAGTGGAATATTTGGTTTGTGTATTTTTGGTCTGCCGTAGAATCGAGGGAGTACTGGTCCGTTGGATTCCATTCTCCGTTGGTCTTGTTTTGTTATTTCTCTTGCTTTGACTAGTTTGTTTAAAGTCTTTGAGATTCTGTTGTCTAATTTTTTAACAGGATTTATGTTCATCAGTTTGTATGCGCTCTATTCTTCGAGTAGTTCCCTGGCTTTTTTGACGTATTCTTCCTTGTCCATAATTACTGTGGTGCGTCGTTTGTCTGCTGAAACTATTGCAATATCCTTTCTAGTTTTGAGTTCCTTCAAAGCTTTTAATTCTTGTGGGGTCAGTTGGTTGTTTACGTTCACCTGTTGAGTTAGCGGTATTATCGTTTGCTTTATTTCCTGTTGTGTTTCTTCACTTAATCCGGGAGTTTTTAGTGATGACTCTAGTGCTGCGAAGAATTCCAGTTTTGAGGCGTCGCTTGTGTTGTAGTTTAATCTCTTCCGGAGTAGGTGTTCTTCCGTATTTGTTAGTGGTTGTTTTGACAGATTGATCATGCAGTTGTTTGTATTTTCTTCCATGGGTGATTTTGAGATCTTGATCAGTTTTTTTCCTAAGGTGTTTCTTCTTTGTTCTCTGTGTCGTTTGTATGATATCTCGATGGCTGTTGTCGAGATTTCTAAATGTTCTGACGTGAGTGTCCTTTTTAGCTACTTCTTTTAGTCCTCCATGACGTGTTGGTATTTGCGGATCCTGTAGTGTACATCTGTTATTATAAGGTGTGCCATTTTTCCCCCACTTTGCTCAGCTATTTTCCATCCTAATGGGCAGTTGATTGGAGGTCTATATCTTACACTTGTTGCTAGAACATGCTGGCGGAGACACTCATGGAGAAAATATAGTTGTTCTCGAGTGCGAGCCTGCGTTTTGGCGAAATTCTCCCATTTTTGAACAACAAGAAGCGTATTACGCTCATATGATTTTGAGATGATGGAGAAGATTTGTAGCTCAGGTGGATGATTTCGATGGAGTTTTGTTCTCTGAGCTGGATGATTTGGTCGTGAATGAATTTCGAATACACGTATTTCGTACAATCGTTGATCTAGACTAAAGATCTGAGAAGCGAATTTGTCATATCTGTCATCATCTATCAACTTCTTTATTTATTGTAATCTAGATTTAATTGATTGAACAATTATTGGTTGAATAGCCGGGTGGTAATATTTGTTTAGGTAACGATTTACATTTAAATTTATGATGAATTATAGAAAAGCTATTTACCCGATTACTTGTTTTGATTTCGACGGGAAAGGGCGCCTGTCTAAAGTCCCCGAAAGGCTATTCTTCACCATCCAAACCGTAGTTTGGATCCTTTACATATAGAAGAGTTATGACGCCTCATGGTGAAAGCCGACTTCCTTCAAAAGTCACGAGGCCGATGCCCCTTCTAACAACCAGAGCAAAAATGTTTATAGGTACATGGAACGTCCGGACAATGTGGGAGATCGGAAAGACCAGTCAAATAGCTACGGAAATGAGGAGATACAACTTGGCAGCGAAACCCATTGGACCCAAGCTGGACAACAAAGGCTAAATATGGGAGAGATGCTACTATACTCCGGTTATGCAGAGAAAAAAGCTCCGCACACTCGGGGAGTTGTTCTAATGCTGTCCAAAGTAGCATGGAATACATTTGTAGGATGGGAATCTCACGGATCCAGAATCATCAAAGCATCATTCAAAACAAAGAAGGAGGGGATCACAATGAATATTATCCAATGCTATGCACCCACCAATGATAGCAACGATGACATTGAAGATCAATTCTATGAGCGGCTGCAGTCAATCATAGAGAAGTGCTCAAGAAAGGACCTCACCATTCTGATGGGAGATCTAAATGCCAAAGTTGGAATAGACATCACCGGATACGAAGATATCATGAAATGACATAGACTGGGTGAGAGAAACGAAAATGGGGAAAGATTTGAGAATCTGTGTGCATCCAACAAATTGGTCATAGGGAGCACAATAATTCCACACAAACGTATACACAAAGCTACATGGATCTCACCGGACCACACTACAGAGAACAAAATAGATCATATTTGCATCAATAAAAAATCTCCGAAGGACAATGGAAGATGTGAAAACCAGGAGAGGAGCTGACGTAGCTTCAAATAACCACCTAGTTGTGGCCAATTTAAAACTGAAGCTAAAGAAGAACTGGACAACTGGACAAACAGCATTACAATGGTTCAATACAGCCTTACTTCGAGATACTAA